GGGGGGGGGGGGGGGGGGGGGGGGGGGGGGGGCGTACTCTTATGTTTTGCATGTCTTAGCGGTTAGACCATTGACAACGCGTCCTCGAGAGGACGGAGCATTGTTCCCACAGGACCGATCACCGATGGCCAATCGTTCCTTCCTACTTTGCCAAAGGTGGCTCAAAAATGTCTTCCCTAGTCTATCTGTCCTATCGATATCACTTCCCGCCTTTTCAACCCAATTCTTATGCCCCAGTACAGCTAACGTCTTCTCCTGGCTATTCCATGCCTCAAACATCTCCCTGTACTTTTCTTTTACTTTTCCCGGCTCAGTCATGTACACTTCCCTCTCCTTCTTGTACAGCCGACATTCCGCGACTACATGAACACGGTCTTCGCACTCGGAGCCGCAATCACATTTGAACGTGGCGTCTTCATCGTCTACCTTCCTATTTCTTGGGCTACGTTATCGAAGGCCTATGTCCCCGGTCCCGAATTTGACCTTAAGCTTTGTTCCTGCATCCATTGGTCCATGTAGGGACTCCTTGAACCCTAGTGCTTCGTTCAACATTCCGTACACTTCTATTCCCTCCTTATCCTTGGTTTCTTTTCTCAGATTTTGTTCTTCTCTCTCGGCAAAAGCAACACATATCTTCTCCTTGAACCCTTTTACACCCTCCGTATCCAGCGTATCGCCTTCGTCAATTTCTAACCCCGTCCATATGTCACGTACAACCTTGACCCACTCCGTGGATTGTCTACCCCTCTTCTTGTTTGCCCACTCCGCCTCCCAAGCTATTCTCGGTAACCTCTCCTTTCCCATACCGCACATGCGACACTGCCATGTCAGGTTCCTTGCGTCTCTTCCCGACCGTAGGGATCGGATCCCCAATTCTGCCCTGACGGCTGCATTACTTGTGCGCTTGGAGCATCCTAGGATGACTTTCGCTTCTTTCATCTGCGCCGCCTCGAGCTCTTTGACTACCTTCTTATTTTCTTCCCATACTTCTCCGTCGTACTCTAGCGGCGGTACGATTACGCTCTTCAAAACCGTCAGTTTGATGCGTGTATCGAGGTGCCGGTTTGCGAGTATGGGGTGCAGCTTCCCTTCTCGTGCTTTGCCCTTTTCCGCTACCTTGGACATGTGTGCATTCCACGAGCAGTCTTTTGCGATCTGTACTCCGAGGTATGTGCACTGGTCCACTACTGCAAGCTCCTCGACCTCCACTTCCATCTATGCTCTACTTATTCCTTCCTGTCCTCGTTGCATGCCATGACGGCACTCTTATTAACGTTGGCAGACAATCTCCGTTATCAGCAAACTCCTTCGCCGCGTCAATTTGCACTTGCAGCCCCTCAGGGGTGTCAGACACCTCAACAAAGTCATCCGTAAACAGCATTCCCGACATCGTGCTTTTTCCCCTACCTCTACTTACGGGTAGGGTTACTCCCTTCTCGACTGCTTCTACGACTTTCAACAGATCGTTGATGAACACCTGGAACGGTGTTGGGGACAAAGTGCAACCTTGTGGGACCCCCTGCTCAATGTCGAAGAATTTAGACAGTTCTCCGTCAAGCACGACCGCGCTTTTCGTACACTCTGTCATCTTCTTCAGCACTCTCCACATTTTCCCCTTGATCCCGTACTTGGACATTTGTTTCCACAGCCCATTTCTCTATTCTGTATCGTATGCCTTTTGCACTTCCAGGAAGAAGCAGTGCGTCGGCTTCCCTTCCCTCTTTCTACCTTGGATGATTCTCCCTAACGTGAATGCGTGGTCTACGCACCCCCTCTTCTGTCGGAAACCTGCCTGGCCCTCGCTCATCATACGTTTCTTCTCCATTACTCCCACTGTATCCTGTCGTTCAGCAGCTTTCAGAACACTGTTCCTACTGTGTTCAACAGTGTGATCCCCCTGTAGTTTCCTGGGTCAGTCATGTCTCCTTTCTTAAACAAGTTCACAACCACCCCTCCATGTACTTGGCGCATACTCGTTTTTCCAGCCCCAGTGTACAGCGGTACCGTCAGCTGGATCATCCCCTTCCCACCAAACTTAATGAACTCGTTGACTATCCCATCCGCCCTTGCTGCTTTGTGGCACTGCAACTTGTTCACACAAGTCTCCACGTCCACTTTCAGCGAACTCCTTCTCTAGCTCTACGTTCCCAACGCTCGATGTTTATTCTTCTTCCTTGGCCCATGCGTCCACCTCCTTCTTAAACACTTGGTCAAAATCTTCATTATCCGACGGCACTCCAAGTCTCTTGTAGTGTCCTGCTAGAACTTCCCTTTTCCCCTTCCCACTGCTGACTAGTCCACGAATTGGGGGGGGGGGGCGGGATCTTTACAAGGCAAGTTCTGAGTTACAGTCGGCGGTCCTCAACAACGGTACCACCCTCAATAGCGGAATGCCCTCTATAGTGGCACCGAAATCGCTTGGCACAAATGCATTTCTCAGTACAATCCCTGTTAGGAATAGCGGCACTGCCCTCTGTAGCGGCACCAAAATCTCTTGTCACTACCTACCGCTATTGAGGACCACCGATTGTAATGTATGTTGGTTTGTTTATGTTTTTTTCGTTTTCCCTGGTTGTGTTTTGAGATGCGGCGTTGGGGTGGAGGAATACCGCACAGCTGTACCGCCACGTCGCTTGATTTGTTGGTCGCGGCTCGGATGGTTTTGGTGCCGTTTGTTGGCTAGTACGTCATTATTCTTTTTCCGTTGCGCGGGGCCCCTCAAGACCCTTGGAGAGATTCAAGAACAGATCTCTTGTGTACCGGCACGCGATGAATTTGCGAAATATGGGAATATTGAGTTTCGGGTGGTCGTTCATCGTCAATCGATACGTACCCCACGTTTTCTCT